ATCCACATCCTGGCGAACTACCATATAATCCATAAAACGCATCCTCCCTCTCCCTTCTTCTTGCCTATACGACCCAGGAACCAAGTCTTGGGAGGATTCTGGATCCCATCCAAGAGACGAACAGCAGCAATGTTCCTTCCCAGACACCTGCCTAGGAGTGGGAGAAATTTTACTCTTTGAAGGCTTGTATCTGGTTTGCCAAATACTACTCCAGACATTCTAGTGGTGTGGGACTGTATTTCCTGGCAACTAAAAGCAGAAGGCAGGTGTGGTGGTGATAAACTTAAGGAAATAGCCACAACCTGAAATGTACAACAGTGAAATGGAGACCATGGAATGCAATCTGTCCTCCAGAAACCTGGAGATGCTCCGTGCTTGGGAAACCCTGGGTCTGTGGATTATAGGAATGACACAGGGTAAGAGCAGACAAACTGATGGCAAGTGTTTTCATAGCAACTTGAACTCCATTGCTCTCCCACACCCAGAAGACTATCAGAACACTAGGAGTGTCTTTCTTTGAAAACATGGAAAAACTCCTGAGCAAATTCTTCCAGGTACTTTTGTTTAGGTAATCTTAGGGTAACACCTGGTTGATCATCTTGTCACCCTAGACTACAACTGGACATATATATATATATATAATGGGCACCTTAAAAATAAGAAAAATCATTTTAAGGCAGAAAATGTTCCTGTCCAAGGGCCAATAGTATTCATTTGAAGTAATTTCAGATGAAGTCCAGATTATTGCAATCTAAGGCTAAATGTATTCTTAGGCTTGAAAATTGAGATTAAGTTGATTAATGTAGATGTTAGGGTTTAGTTCATTGTCCAGGCAGTCCAGTGCAGTGAATCAGTGGTTGGAGATCAGGGAAAGAATTTATTCTATTCTGGGACAAATATCTTATCAATCTCACTAGACTGACAGCACAAAGACAGGAAACAAGGGAGCTATATTCAAAATAGAGAAAGGCAGAGTCTAGCTTGAGCTAGGAATGACTCAGCCAAAGGGAGAGTTGAGCAACCATAGAGTTTTCCACATGCTGACATTTTGGGGATCCCCCCATGGGCCAGTCAACCCCCAACTGATCAAACTTCACTAAACCCAGTCATAACTTGACCCTTGCCCAGGAGATGCAACGTGGGGTAGGAGCTAAGAATCATCTTTCTCGGTGTCACGTGATGTCAATTGAACATGAAACAATCCCATTACTGGTTATATACCCAAAGGATCCTAAATCGTTCTACTATAAAGACTCATACACACGTATGTTTGTTATGGCACTATGCACAATAGCAAAGACTTGGAACGAACCCAAATGCCCATCAATGATAGAATGGATAAAGAAAATGTGGCACATATACACCATAGGATACTATGCAGCCATGAAAAAAGGGATGAGTTCATGTCCTTTGCAGGGACATAGATGAAGCTGGAAACCATCATTCTCAGCAAACTAACACAAGAACAGAAAACCAAAGACGGCATGTTCTCACTAATATGTGGGAGTTGCATCATGAGAACACATGGACACAGGGAGAGAAACATCACACACTGGAGCCTGTCAGGGAGTTGGGGGTCTAGCAGAGGGATAGCATTAGGAGAAATACCTAATGTACATGATGGGTTGATGGTTGCAACAAACCACCGTGGCACGTGTGTGCCTCTGTAACAAACCTGCACATTCTACACATGTATCCCAGAACTTGAAGTATAATCATAAAAAAAAAGAAAATGAAACAATAAAACATGAGTTCTTATGAATCACAGAACACCCGTGCCCCCAAATTAAGTTGGAAATTTATGATTCATTCCAATTAGGTCGTTTTTAGTATCTCACAAAAGTTTGATTCTACAGTGAAACATACTTTGAAAAGAATGAAAAGATTCTTGTGGTCTTTTTACTTCTTGTAAGGCGTTAGGATCCACCCGTTCGAATACCTTTGCCCGGGACCACCTGCAATGCTTTTCTTTCCACTCCCAGGCATCCCTTCATTCAGATAATGCCAACTCATCATCACCATCTGACCTCTCATTCAGCTTCCTCACCACCCTCCATCTCAAATCCACAAAATATGTGATTGCTTTCTCTTTTTTTTTCTTTATTTTTTGAACTTCGACTTTTATTTTAGATATGGGGATATATGCTCAGGTTTGCTACATGAGACTATTGCACCCAGGAGGTGAGTGCAGTACCCAGTGAGTATCTCTTTCATCCTGTCCTATTGCTTTAAATCTTTCCTTCCCGGGACTGGTCCTATTTCTAAACTTTTTGTGTAGTGATTTTATCAACTTAGTTTTTGCTAGGATGCTAGATTTTCCAGAAGGGGAGGTAACTGGAAATGAAGTCTGGGTTACTGTGAATCCAATATATCTGCTTTGCTCGCCTTTATCTCTTGTGTCCTGGGATGGCCACAGGTTGACATGTTTAAATGTTTCTTAAGTAAGGATGGATAAGATTTACTGAACGGTGAGTGCATGACTACAAAAACAAAATGAGGCTGGGTGATGTGGCCGATGCCTGTAATCCCAGCACTTTGGGAGGCCAAGGCGGGCAGATCACCTGAGGTCAGGAGTTCAAACCCAGCCTGGCTAATATGGTGAAACCCTATCTCTACTAAAAATACAAAAATTAGCTGAGCGTGGTGGCTCATGCCTGTAATCCCAGCACTTTGGGAGGCCAAGGCGGGCAGATCACCTGAGATCAGGAGTTCAAAACCAGCCTGGCTAACATAGTGAAGCCCCATCTCTACTAAAAATACAAAAATTAGCCTGGCGTGGTGGCAGCTGCCTGTAATCTCAGCTACTCGGGAGGCTGAGGCAGGAGAAGTGCTTGAACCCAGGAGGCTGAGGTTGCAGTGAGCGGAGATTGCACCACTGCACTCTAGCCTGGGTGACAGAGCGTGATCCTGTCTCAAAAAAAAGCAGCAAAATACAAGAAGAAGTCCAGGACTGGTAACGGCAAGTCATGTTGAGCGGTTAGAAAAGGGGTGAGGACATCGAAAAACTTCCTGGCATAGTTCTCAGTCCTTGCCTAGCACAGGTTACTCTGAAAGCAGGACGTAAGGATATGAGCGCAGGTAACTGATTTGGGTACCAGGGTTAAGGGAATAGGGTAGAGAAAGAGAGAAGGGAAGGAATTTCTGAGATCAGCACGCATCGCGGACACCACTGCAGCAGGTAACAAGGACAGGTCCACACCAGGATCTCTGACAATTGCAGACCACGATCCAGAACTTCCCTCCAAAACAGGAGATACTCGGCAATATGTATGTGACTTCCTTGTTCCCATTTCTGGGAGTTTGTTTTTCCCCAGAGATTGTCCGATGCATCAGGCTTTGGCTGAAATAGCTTCCCATCAGCTCCTTACACACCAGTGTGGAGACACACATGGAAATCCTCAAAAAGAGATATGCCCCGTGATTCTGAGAGTGACCCCAAAGGATACGGAATGAGGTACTAAACGCAGGTGCTTGGAAACCTGAATGCAGCGGTATTCATGCAGTTCCCGGCACTTTGACTTTCAGCCTCCTGTAAGCCTCTCCTTCTTTGCCTTCCTGACCATTAGACATGATTTATTTTGGGTTTGTTTTAACCTCTACTTCCTCCTTCCCCTCCCACCCTATGTTTCAGTTCTAAAATTAGAAGGTCCTCTCATCTTTTTTTTTTTTTTTTTTTGGGACTGAGTCTTGCTCTTTCGCCCAGGCTGGAGTGCAGTGGGGCGATCTCCGCTCACTGCAAGCTCCGCCTCCCGGGTTCCCGCCATTCTCCTGCCTCAGCCTCCCTAGAAGCTGGGACTACAGGTGCCCACCACCACACCTGGCTAACTTTTTTGTTTGTTTGTTTTTTGTATTTTTAGTAGAGACGGGGTTTCAGCGTGTTCGCCAGGATGGTCTCGATCTCCTGACCTCGTGATCCGCCCGCCCTGGCCTCCCAAAGTGCTGGGATGACAGGTGTGAGCCACCGCGCCCTGCCCTTTCTATCCTTTTAAGGAGATCAGAGGCAGAAAATGATTAGTCACCATCTAGGACAGACCACAATTCCAGATCATTGCAGGACATGCCCACTCGAATGGATGATTATTGAGAGCTGACCACCTGCAGTGTTTTACCCAGGCAGCGGCCTGAGGGTGGAAGCTAACGCAGGCAGCGGCCTGAGGGTGGAAGTTAACGCAGGCAGTGGTCTGAGGGTTGAAGCTAATCCACGCAGTGGTCTGAGGGTTGAAGCTATCTGGCCTTTTTGCGTGCTTGTTATCTATTTATGGTTATTTTTCTTTTCAAAATAATTTTACTAAATATTGAATTCACCAACTATATATATTTATGGAGTACAATGTGTTATAAATGTATACATTGCAGAATGATGGAATCAAGCCAATTAACATGTCCATCACTCCACATACTAACATCTATCTGCAGTGAAGACATTTAAAATCTATGCTTGGCTGGGCGCGGCGGCTCACGCCTATAATCCCAGCAACTTTGGGAGGCCCAGGCGGGTGGATCAACTGAGGTCAGGAGTTCGAGACCAGCCTGGCAAACATGGTGAAACCCCATCTCTATTAAAAACACAAAAATTAGCCAGAAGTGGTGGCGGGTGCCTGCAATCCCAGCTACACAGGAGGCTAAAGCAGGAGAGTCGCTTGAATCTGGGAGGCAGAGGTTGCAGTGAGCTGAGATCACACCACTACACTCTAGCCTGGGTGACAGAGAAGACTTCGTCTCAGAAAAGAAAGAAAGAAAAAAAAAAAAGATTTTGGAGCTACATCGTGCTGGCGCTGAAGAGAATGAGTTTTGTTTTGCGGCACAGTTTTTAGGTGGCTACTGGGCTCTGGTAGAGATGGAACGTTCGGCCTCACGTAGGCAGGGCCCCGTGGGACATCAGTAGCCGACCATGACCTGGCTGCGCACTGGCCCACCAAGCGTTCAACTGGCATGCCCAGCCGCTCTCCGTCATCACAGAGAAGTGGTTTCTGAGAGATTTGGCTAAAGGAGTCCCTGAAGGCCTGTGGGAGGCAGAATAGTGACCTTCCAGAGATGTCGACGTCCTGAGCCTCAGACCCTGTGAATAGGGGGAGCTTATGTGGCAAAACAAACTTTGCAGATGTGATTAAGTTAAGGATCTTGGGTTGGGGAGATTATCCAGGTGGGCCTAATGTAATTGCAAGGGGCTGAATAAATGAAACGGGGGAGGCAGGAGGGTCAGAGTGAGAGAAGGAGGTGAGTGGATGGAAGCGGGGGCCGGATAACGGGACTGGTGGCTTTGAGGATGGAGGGAATGGTGAGGCCGGAATGTGGGAGCCTGCAGAAGCTTGAACAGGCCGGGGAATGGATCCTCCCTGGAGCCTCCAGGAAGACATGGCTCTGATGGCAACTGTGTCTTAGCCCAAGGAGACCCATTTTGGACTTGTGACCTCTGGAATGGTAAGTCAAGAAACCTACATTATGTTAAGCCACTAAGTTTGTGGTGATTTGTTATGGCAGCAATAGGAAGGTTTATGGTTCACCTGTGCTCTGAACACACAGGTTTTTGTTTGTTTGTTTGTTTGTTTGTTTCACTTGTTCAATGATGTACCCCCAGCATCAGGCTTATTGCAAATACACAATACATACAGGTTGATGTTTGGGCAAGAGAGGAATTAAGATGAGGGAGACAGCAGGCTGGGATCAGAGAGACCCCATTTCTGTCTGAAATGTCTGCAGAGAACCTGGTGCCTGCCCCAGCCCTAGCCCTGGGGAAATGAAAGTCAGGCTGGGGTTCAAATGAGGGCAGTTTCCCTTCCTGCGGGCGGCTGATGGAACAACCCCATGACTAGAAGGACCCAGCCTCTGAGCGGCCACACACCGTGTGTCTCTCTGTCCTGCCGGCACTGAGGACTCATCCATCTGCACAGCTGGGGCCACTGGGAGGAGACGCCATGACCCCCACCCTCATGGTCCTGTTCTGCTTAGGTGAGATTTAAAAAGGGGGAGGGGATACCCAAGTCTTGGAAGAACTTTGCCTCACAGCCAGGCCCTGGTTCTTTAGGAGACTCAAAAATCACAGGGTAAAGAGAGGACCTGCTCAGGCTTCAGGGGCAAATCTCTCACAGGGAATTCTCTTCCAGGGCTGAGTCTGGGCCCCAGGACCTGTGTGCAGGCAGGTGAGTCTGTCCCCAGCTGTCCCAGGTCCCTCCTCCTCCCTGGGGACAAAGGGCCACCCATGGGCAGCTGGGAGAGGAGACAGCAGTTCTGGGTGACTGATGGCGACGTCTGAAGGGTCCTGGGACTGAGAGCTGGGATCTGAGGGCTGAGGGACGTCTTGGGATGCAGCCTCTGATTTCCTTCCAGGGCCCCTCCCCAAACCCACCGTCTGGGCTGAGCCTGGCTCTGTGATCAGCTGGGGGAGCCCCGTGACCATCTGGTGTCAGGGAACCCTGGACGCTCAGGAGTACCGTCTGGATAAAGAAGGAAGCTCAGCACCCTGGGACATACAGAACCCACTGGAGCCCAGGAACAAGGCCAAGTTCTCCATTCCATCCATGACACAGCACTATGCAGGGAGATACCGCTGTTACTATCACAGCCATCCAGACTGGTCAGAGGACAGCGACCCCCTGGACCTGGTGATGACAGGTGAGAGGACACTCAGGGGTCCCAGCCCCAGGTTCTGTCCTCAGGAAAGGGGTCGGCTCTCAGGGACGTCTCCCTCTCACAGCCCAGCCCTGGGGATGATGCGGGAGGTGGGAGCCCATTTAACACGGAGCCTCCTTCTCTCCTAGGAGCCTACAGCAAACCCATCCTCTCAGTCCTGCCGAGTCCTCTTGTGACCTCAGGAGAGAGCGTGACCCTGCTGTGTCAGTCACGGAGCCCGATGGACACTTTCCTTCTGTTTAAGGAGGGGGCAGCCCATCCCCTGCCGCGTCTGAGATCAGAGCATGGAGCTCAGCTGCACCGGGCTGAATTCCCCATGGGTCCTGTGACCTCAGTGCATGGGGGGACCTACAGGTGCATCAGCTCACGCAGCTTCTCCCACTACCTGCTGTCACGCCCCAGTGACCCCGTGGAGCTCACAGTCTTAGGTGAGGCTCCTGACCCTGTCCCCTCTGAGCTCAATGGCTCAGCTCAGGCCCTGCCCCCAGGAGAGCTCTGGGCAGGGACGGAGGAAGGGGGGCTCAGCCAAGGGGAGACTCAGCCCTCAGAGGGGAGGAGGACAACGGGGTCTTCCCAGGCATGCCCATGCTCTTCTCCCTTACCTGTGGGGTCCAGAAGGTGCCAGGAGGGGAGAGACAAGGTCCCTGGGAAGCCACAGGGCAGATGTAGGAAGAGGTTCAATTTGTGGTGGAGACTCTGGGGCAACCCCAGACTCTCACCCTCCTCTTGTCCTTCTACCCAGGATCCTTGGAGAGTCCCAGCCCCTCACCCACAAGGTCCATCTCAGCAGCTGGTGAGTCTTAGAGGCCTCTGTCCAGAGAGTTTCCAAAGCCCGAGGCCTGTCTCAAGACACGCTCAGTGGATCTAAGTCCTCGTTCCAGTTCTCAGCTGGGCTTGCTTCCAGGGATGTGGGAGTCGGGCAGTGACTTGGGAGGCACTGAAGCCTCCCAAGGCCCTGAGGCTGGGCTAATGCGGGGTGAGGGGTCAAGGCAGAGGGAGATGTTGGGAGGAGAAGCCGAGCTGAGGTGGGGGGCAGGGCAGCCCCAGCCCTCATGTCCCTGTTCTAACCCAGCAGGCCCTGAGGACCAGCCCCTCATGCCTACAGGGTCAGACCCCCAGAGTGGTGAGTGAGGGGCTCTGAGTGGGAGGTGAATGGAGTCCCTGGGGGGCAGGGGTGGGTTCTGTCCTAGGTTCAGCCTCCTCTGGAGATGGTGACGTGGACAGGCCCCTCCCCTGCCTGGGCCTCAGTTTCTCCAGGTGTAAAGGAGAGAGGCCTGCGGGTGGGAATATTCCTTTCAGCTCTGACTCCCAGCTGTGACCTCCTGGGAGAGGAGGCCTCCCAGGGAAGCCTCCCAGAGTCGATTCCACAGGGGCCTGTCCTGTCCCACCTGCAGCGGTGACAGTGACTTGGGGCAGGGGAGGGGAGCAGGGCTGTGGTTCAAGATGGTCAGGCTCTTTCCCTGCAACTCTGAGGCTTGGCTCTGGTGCAGGGAATAAGGGCTGCAGATCAGAGTCCCGGGTTCACTTTTTAACTCTGCTGCTTCCTGGCTGGGGACCCAGGGCAGGCGATTCCCCTCTCTGAGCCTCAGTTTCCTCCTTTGTGAAATGGGTGGAGAGAGGGTGGCAATCTCAAGTTGCACGACTGCTGTGAGGGTTGGAGGTAATGAAAGAAAGACCCAGCACACACAGTAGGTGTGCGCACAGTAGGTGCTCACATCAGTGACATCATCCCCATTCCTGATGTCATCACGCCCAAGGTCTGAGAAGGCACTGGGAGGTACTGATCGGGGTCTTGGTGGTCTCCATCCTGCTTCTCTCCCTCCTCTTCTTTCTCCTCCTCCAACACTGGCGTCAGGGCAAACACAGGACATCAGGTAAGAAGGAAATTGGGGGACCTGTGGGCCGATGCAGGGTGGGCTCAGGGCGCTAGCCAAAGAGAGTCCAGATAGGAGAGATCAGCTTAGGAACTGCTCCAGAAATTCCCAGTGAGAAAATCTAGAAAGAAGAAAATAAAGAAGGGCATAATGGAAGTGCTTTATTCTTGCGGTTTTTCTACACTTAGGAAGGATTTAAAACATCCTTGCAAGTGTATTTTCGGGTTTGTCTTCCTCTTGAGTTGCATGTGGAAGGCAGGTGGTTCTAACATTCCGAGAGCTGAGACTCTGTCCACCTTTCCCCAGCCCAGAGACAGGCTGATTTCCAACGTCCTCCAGGGGCTGCAGAGCCAGAGCCCAAGGATGGGGGTCTACAGAGGAGGTAATTCTGCCTGAAGACCTCAGACTCCCACCCACCCCAACAGCCACCTCACTGCCCCTCACACTCCCGTATCCTCCCCCAGGTCTAGCCCAGCTGCTGACGTCCAGGGAGAAAACCCCAGTAAGTGGGAGGCAGAGGGGGTGCACCTGGGGTGGAGATGCGGGCCCCAAAGTTTCAATAGCAATGGGGGCAGGAGTACAGGCTGGTAAGGGTCAGGGACTCGGGGGGAGGTGGTCTGAACCCACACTGTGGGACCTCGGGGACATCACAGCCCCTCCCTGCATCACGGTGGCCCTAATGGGAACAGGGCAGGGTCTGGCAGGAATGAGCGGTCCCAGGGAACCTTCCCATGAGACAAATCCCTTGCTCTGCCCCAGCAGATGCTGCCATGAAGGACACACAGCCTGAGGACGGGGTGGAGCTGGACAGTCGGGTGAGACCCCGCCCCTGTCCCGGGCACCAAAGGCCTCCTGGTGCCAGATCTAATCC